TCTGACTTATATAATGTGCCCTAAGTCCATCCATGTTGTCACAAATGACAGGATATCCTTCTTTTTCATGAGTGAATATTTGTGTGTGTGTGTGTATGTATGTGTGTATATACATACCTCATTTTTTTATCCATTCATCTCTCAGTGGACACAGGTTCTTTCCATATTCTGGCTGTTGTAAATAGTGCTGCAGTGAACACGGGGACGCACATATCATTTTGAATTAGTGGTTTCATTTTCTTTGGATATATACGCAGAAGTAGAATTACTAGATCATGTGATAGTTCTTTCATTTTTTTAAGGAACTTCCATACTGTTATCCAGAGTAGCTGAACCAATTTATATTCCTACCAACAGTGCACAAGGGCTCCCTTTTCTCCACATCCTTGCTGCACTTGTCTTTTTGTTGCTAGCCATTTGAATAGATAGAAGGTGCTGTCTCCTTGTGTTTTTTTTGTGTTTTTAAAGATTTTATTTATTTGTCAGAGAGCAAGTGTGCACAAGCAGGGGGAGCTGCAGGTGGAGAAGCAGGCTCTCCCACTGAGTAGGGAGTCCGATGAGGGACTCGATCCCAGGACCCCAATCCCAGGATCATGACCTGAGCTGAAGGCAGACTGAGCCACCCAGGCATCCCTCCTTGTGGTTTTAATTTGCATTTTCCTGCTGATTATTGAAGTTGAGCATCTTTTCATGTACCTGTTGACCATGTGGATGGACGTCTTTAGAAAATGTCTGTTTAGTTCTGCCCATTTTTTGATTCTTTCGTTTTTTTGTATCCAGTTGTAGGAGTTCTTTATATGTCTGGGATATTAACATTTTATCAGATATATGATTAACAAATATTTTCTCCCATTCTGTAGCTTGCTTTTTCATTTTGTTACTTCTTTTGCTGTGTGAAAAACTTTTAACTTTGATGTTCCATTTGTTGATTTTTTTGCTTTTGTGTGTGCTTTTGGGGTCATATCTCAAACATTTACTATGATCATTGTTGAAGAGCTTCTCCCCCATGTTTTCTTCTAGTTTTATTGTATCAGGTCTTATGTTTAAGTCTTTGATCCGCTTTAGGTTAATTTCTATGAGTGGTAAAAGGAGTCTAATTTCATTGCTCTGTGTTTATTATCCATAATAAGTTTTCCCAACACCCATCTGTTGAATTGTCCTTTCCCCATTGGGTGCTCTTTGCTCCCTTGTCAAATATTAGTTGACTTACATATGCAGGGGTTCAGTTTTTGGCTCTCTGTTCTGTTGACCTGTATGTCTGTTTTAGTGTTGGCACCATGCTGTTTTTAATTACTGTAGCTTTGTGGTATAGTTTGAAATCAGCAAGTGGGATACCTCCAGCATTGTTCTTTTCCCTCAAGATTGCTTTGGCTATTTGGGGTTCCATACAAATTTTAGGATTGTTTTTCTGTTTCTGTAAAGAATGCCATTGGTATTTTGATGGAGATTGCATTGAATCTGTAGATGGCTTTGGGTAGTATAAACTTTTTAATACTAACTCTTTTGATCCACGAACACAGGATGTCTTTCCATTTGTTTGTGTCTTTAATTTCTTTCAGCTAAGTCTTACAGTTTTCATTGTACAGATCTTTCACTTCCTTGATTAAACTTTATCCTAAATAGATTGTTTCTGATGCGGTACATGGGATAATTTTCTTTTTTTCGATATTTCATCCTTAGGGTATAGGAATTAACTTATTTCTGTACATTGGTCACGTGTCCTGCAACTTTACTGAAATCACTGATTAGTTCCAGCAGTTTTTTGGTTTTGTCTTTGGGATTTTGCATATACAAAATCATGTAACTGCAAATGGGACAGTTTGACTAATTCCTTCCTGATTTGGATGTGAGGGAACACTTTCAGTTGTTTTTTTTTTTTAAGATTTTATTTATTTATTTGACAGAACACAAGTAGGCAGAGCGGCAGGGAGTGAGAGAAGAAGCAGCAGGCTCCCCACTGAGCAGGGAGCCCGATGGCGGGGCTCAATCCCAGGACCCTGGGATCATGACCTGAGCCGAAGGCAGACCAACTGAGCCACCCAGGTGCCCTTCAGTTCTTGTCTCTGTGGGTTTGTCATACATGGCCTTTATTATGTTGGGGTATGTTACTTCTATACTCAGTCTGCCAAAAGTTCTCATCATGAAAGGATGTTGCATTCTGTCAAATGTATAGATGATCATGTCATTACATTAATGTGATGTATCACATGTATTGATTTGTATATGTTGAACCATCCTTTCATTCCAGGGAAAAATCCCATTTAGCCCCAGTGTGTAATCTTTTTTATGTGTTCTTGAATTTGGTTTGCTCATATTTTGTTGAGAATTTTTATATCTATGTTTATCAGGGATATTGGCCTGTAGTTCCTTTTTTTGTGTTTGTTTTTTAGAGAGGGAAAGCGTGCATGTGAGCAGGGGCTGGGGGAAGGCGAGGGAGAGGGAGAGAATCTTAGGCAGCTCTATGCCCAGCGTCTGTGCGGGGCTTGATCTCACAGCCGAGATCATGACCTGAGCTGAAATCAAGAGTTGAATGCTTAACTGACTGAGCCACCCAGACACCTCTTTTTTGTTGTGTTCTTATCTGGCTTTGGTGCCAGGATAATGCTGGCCTGTTAAGCACAGTTTGGAAGTATTCCCTACACCTCAAGTTTTTGGAAGAGTTTGAGAAAGATTGGTATTAATTCTTTGAGTGTTTATTGGAATTTGCCAATGAAGCCATCTGGTCCTAGATTATTTTTTGTACTGGGAGGTTTTAAATTATTGTTTCAATCTCTTGCTCATTATGGGTCTATCACATGTTCTCTTTGCGTATGATTTGGTCTTGGTGGGTTGTTTCTAGAAATTTGTCCATTTCTTCTAGGTTATCTGATTTCGGGCGTAGGGTTGTTCATAATAGTCCCTTATGATCCTGTGTATTTTTGTAGTACCAGTTGTATGGTCTTTTTCATTTCTAATTTTATGTCTTTTTTAAGTCTGGCTAATAAGTTTTGTCAGTGTTATCTTTTTGATGAACCAGCTTTTAGTTGTACAGATAGTATTTTTATGAAAGAGATTTTTTTTCTGCTTTGGTTTTATTTCCTTCCTTCTGCTACCTCTACACTTGTTCTTTTTATACTTCCTAGAGGTACAGTTAGGTTGCTTGAGATCTTTGTAATTTCTTAATATATGCATTTAATACTGTAAACTTGCCTCTTGACTGCTTTGCTCTATACCATATTTGATGTGTTTCGATATAATTTATTCTCATTTTTATTTTTTGACTCATTGTTTAGAAGTGTGTTAGTTTCCATGTAGTGATAGATTATTCTAGCTTCCTCTTGCTGATTTCTAATTTATACCATTGTGGTCAGAAAAGATAGTTGGTATGATTTCAATCTTAAGTTTGCTGAGATTTGTTTTGTGCCTGGTCATAGGATCTGCCCTGGAAAATGTTCATGTATGTTAAGAAAAATGTGTATTATGCTGCTCTTGGATGGAGTGTTCTATATATGACCTTTAAATCATTTTGTTTTAGAATATGTTTTGGTTCAATTCCAATATTTTCTTTTTGATTTTCTGTCTGCATGATTTATGTTCTAATAGTATTAAAGTCCCCTATTAATGTATTGTTTATTTCTCCATTTAAATCTGTTAGAATTCTTTTCATCATGGTGCTCTGATGTTGGAGGTGTATATATTTATGATCATTCTCTCTTCCTGATGTCTTTGTTTTTTTATCATATAATGACTTCTTTATCACTTGTTAATGTTTTTGGCTTGAAGTGTATTTGTTCTGTCATAAGTATGGCTACACCCACTTTTTTTGGTATCCACCTGCATGGAATATCCTCTTCTGTTCCTATGCTTTGAGCCTGTGTATGTCTTTAGAGCTAAAATGAATTTCCTTTAGACAGAGTGGAGTTAGGTTTGTTTTTTGTTTTTTTTTCATCCAGTCACTCTACCCTTTGGTGAATTCAGTCCACTATTAATTACTGCTACCATCTTATTGTTGTTTGCCTTCTGGTTGTTTTTATCTCCTCTGTTTCCTTTCCCTGTTTCTACTTTTCGAAAGTGGATTTCCATGGTGATTGGTGCAGTCTCCCCGTTTTTTATGTTTCATTACTATATTTTTGCTTTGTGGTTACCAAGTGGCTTACATAAAACATCTCATAGGTAAAGTACTCCTAGGGGAAGGCATTTTTAAGAAATAGTTCGAGCACATTCTATAACAGCCTTGATTAATTACACTGTTCTGCCACATAATCACTTGTTCTGTTCTGATGATCATCTGTTCATTAAAGATGATGACAATAAAATAACTTGTGAAACAATAACTTGCAAAGGTTACTGTAGTTGACCCTTAAACAATGTGAGGGTTAGGGGTGCCAATCCATCATGCAATCAAAAATCTGCATATAACTTCACTCCCTAAAAATTAACAGCTGATAGTCTGCTGAGCAGAAGCCTTACTGATAACAGTTTGACCCATTTTTGTATATTATATGCTGTATTCTTACAATAAAACTAGAGAAAATGTTAAAATCAAGAAGAGAAAATGCATATCCAGTACTGTATTTATGAGAAAAAAATCCACGTATAAGTGGATGTGTGCTGTTCCAGACCCATGTTCCAGGGTCAATTATATTTTTAACTTTGTAAGAAACTAACAAATTCTTTTTCAAAGTGTTTGTACTGTTTTACATTTCTACCAGCAATGTCTGAGAGTTCCAGGTTCCTTGCCATATTTTATTTAAGGGAATTTTCAGATACTTTATGTGTTTCTGCCCCATGACTGGAGGTTTTTTGTTTTAACACTTCGGTGATGAAGTTACGAATCTTTAAATTTAGAGTCAAAAAACCTCTTTATAGATGGACAGGATGGAAGTCTAAAATCAAAACATGACATGAAAAGCAAGATTATAGAATCCTCTGGCATCATGAGTTATCAAAATACAAGGAAGAATTTTATCCTCAGACTTTCAGTAACACTTTAAATGGTTAGCCACTTGGCTGAGACCTTACTATAATACTTCTGTCAGAGTCCCTGCTGCTGCTTGAATTGTAAAGGCTGCAATAGAAATGTGTTTCTTTACTTCTGTCCAGGCTGAATGGGGGTCTTCTTTATTTTCAATATCAAACATAGCATCGTAGATCCCAGGAAATGATTCTCCAGCATATTTGTTGTGGCTACTTGGAGCGAAGATGATGTGCCTAATAGAAGAAAACAGATGGCAGGTTGAGCCAAAGAGTATACATAACATTACATTTTTTACGCTTCTTGAATTCATTCCCTTTTGTTAGACCCCATCTTAAGAATACTGTCTCCTCCTGGCATTCACTTTTTTTTAATTCCAAAATGAAGACCTATAATTGATTTAAGATACTTAATGTAACAGTATAAAATTTTAAGCGAAGAAATCTGTGCATTCACTAAGACTTAGTCTCATAAATCATGTTGCCAACCCATACAAATGGAAGAAAGTGTGTTCTTGTAAGTTGTGTACATCAGTTGTCTGATTGCCAGCAGATACCCAAACAGTGGTAACAAATATGCTTTATGGATATATTTACTGAGAGAAGTGTGTTGCCTTTTTTAGAGATTCAATAAGAATAACACTTGTTCCCAATACTCTTTAAAAAAATCAGTAAATAAGCTTGTATTCCCAAAATATAAATGAGGATAATGAAGTCCATTCCACAAAGATAAAGCAGTTATATATGAATTGCCTGCAAACACATTTAATTTATCATCTAGAAGGAAAGTTTTGCATTTGATTTCCTATTTTATAAGTACCTGGAGAAATCAAACTACTTTTCTTTCCAAAAATTGGAATTCTGCCTTCCAGAAAGGGACGTATTTTATTCAACACTATTATCAGGAATTAGGCCCAACAGTCAAATCCTGCAGCTTCTTCAGGATGTAAATCTGTCTCAGAGACTCAATGTGAAACTATGTAAGTATTAATGATTAAATAGAAATTTATAATGCAAATCATTTAGATTATCCAAAGTACGTCAGGATTTATTATTTTTTTACAGCAAGAGAGCACAAGCGGGGGAAGGACAGAGGGAGAGGGAGAAGCAGGCTCCCTGCTGAGGGCTTCTGGCCCTGACATGGGGCTCCCCCAGGACCCCTGGATCATGGCCTGAAAAGAAGGCAGCTGCTTAACCAACTGAGCCACCCAGGTGCCCCAGTACATCAGGATTTATTGCTCTTGGCTTTTAAATCTTAACATGGCCTCAAATGGATCTTCCTCATTAAAGCCAGTATAGGTGCTGAACTGTTTATAAACATTGATATTCTGACCTATACATGAATTATTACAAATAAAGTTTATAGCTATTCAAGTGTATACTTGTCCTTTACTGGAGAACTGTAAAAGCAGAGTATAGTAAAAATAAAGATAGATGGATATAAGGATTATACAAACCTAGTTTGAATCCATGAACTGGCATCTCATAGTCCTGTGGTCTTTCACCTTGGTTAAGTTCTTAGGTATTCTATTCTTTTTGATGCAATTATAAATAGAATTATTTCTTTATTCCTCTTCTTGATAGGCCATTATTAGTGAATAGAAATAAAGTAGATTTCTGTATATTGATTTTGTATCTTCACCTTGCACTGAATTTGTTCATTCTAACAGTTTTTTGGTGGATTCCTTAGGTTTATATATAATGTCATCTGCAAATAATAATGGTTTTACTTCCTTCCAATATGGATGTCTTTTTCTTGCTGATTGCTCTGGCTATGACTACCCATACTGTATTGAAAAGAAACAGCAAGAACAAGCATCCTGGTCTTGTTCCTATCTTAGAGGAAAAGCTTTCAGCCTTTTAACATTAAATATATTAGCTGTAGGTTTGTCTTATTGGCCTTTATTGAGTTATACTTCTTCTACTGACTTTGTTGAGTTTTAATAAAAATGGATGTTGAATTTTGTCAGATGCTTTTTCTGCATCTATTAAAGACTTTTATCCTTCATTTGTTAATGTGATATATAACATTGATTTGTGGATATTGAACCATCTTTGTATCCCTGGAATAAATCCCATTTGTGGTACTGTGATCTTTTTAATATATTGCTGAATTCGGTTTGCTAAGTTTTATAGAGGATTTTTGCTTTTATGTTCATCATATTGGCTGGTAATTTTCTTTTGGCATCCTTGTTTGATTTTCCTAGTAGGGTAATGCTGGCCTTTTAAAATGAGTTTAGAAGTGTTCCCTCTTCTCTTTTTTGGAAGAGTTTGAAAAGGATTGATACTGATGATTTTTTCAGTGTTTCATAGAATTCATTGGTGAAGCCATCTGGTCCTGGACTTTTGTTCGTTGGGAGGTTTATGATTACTAATTCAATTTTCTCACTAATAACTGGTCTATTCACATTTTCTGTTTCCACATTTCATGATTCAGTTCTGGAAGGTTATATGTTTCTAGAAGTTTGTCTGTATCTTCTGGGATGTCCAATTTGTAGGCATATGACTGTTGACACTAGTCTCTTATTTATTTCCATGGTATTAGTTGTAATGTCTCCTCTATTTATTTGAGCTTGTTCTCTTCTTGGTGAATCCAGTGAATGGTTTATAAATTTCATCTTTTCAAACAATCAGCTCTTCATCTTACTGAACTTTTCTTTTGGCTTTTTAGTTTCTATTTCCTTGATTTCCTCTTTGTAATTGCCTTCCTTCTGCTAACTTTGGGTTTTGTCGTTCTCCTACTTCCTTGAGGTGTGATGTTAGGTTGCTTGAGAGTTTTACTTTTTTCAGAGATGTAGGGTATTCATTGCTGGTGACCGTTAATCTTAGTTGCTTTTATGCATCTCATAAATTTTGCCATGTTGTATTTCCATTTTCATTTTTCTCAAGGTGTTTTTTTGTCTTTTGATTTCATTGACCTATTAGCTGTTTAGTAGAATGTTAGTTTCCACCTATTTGTGAATATTCCACTTTTCTTGTAATTGATTTCTGGTTTCCTACCGCTGTGGTCAAAAGAAAAAAAGATGCTGGATGTTTCATTCTTCTTAAATTCATTAAGACTTGTTTTCTTTGGCATAACATATGACCTATCCTGGAGAATATTCCACATGCACTTGCAAGAATGAGTGTTTTGCTTTTGGATGGAATGTTCTGTATATATCTTTTCATCTCATATGGTCTAATGTGTGATTTTTTTTGTTTGGAAGCTAGCCATTGATGTGTGGTATTAAAGTCTCCTTTTCATCCTATTTGACTCCTATTTCTCTTTCGGTCTCTTAATAATTTATATGTTTAGGTGCTTTTATGATGGGTACATAAATATTCACAAATGTTATATCCTCTTGTTTGACCCTTTTATTATTGTGTAATTTCCTTCTTTGTCTCTTACTGCCGTCTTCATTTTGAAGTATTTTGTCTGATACTAGTATAGCTATCCCTGCTTTCTTTGGCTTCCATTTGCATTCTCTGTCTTTTTCCATGCCTTCAGATTTAGTCTGTGTGGGTCTTTACATTTGAAGTGAGTCTCTTCTAGGCATGATATAGATAGGTCTTGTTTTATTCATTCAGCCACTTTGTCTTTTCATTGGAGCATTTATTCCATTTACATTTAAAATAATCCATATGTACATACATATTGCTATTTTGTCAGTTTTCTTGCTGTTTTGTAGTTCTCTTGTTCCTTATTTTCTTGCTCTCACCATTTGTGGTTTGTTGGTACAGTATGCTTAAATTTTATATTTCTCGTATCTAATACAGGCTTATCTCATTGTGCTTGGAAGATACGTTTTTGTTTTTTTTTTAATTGAAGGTTTGTGGCAAACCTGCATCAAGCAGGTCTTTTGACACCATTTTTCCAACTACAATTCAGTTATTCTTGTATTTCAAACTATTTTATTGGAATACATTTGGCAATACAGTGTTATTAGTTTTGGGTGTATAGTAGTAATTTGACAGTTACATACATTAAGAAATGCTCACTCAGGTAAGTGTAGTCACCATCTGTCACCAAAGTTATTACACTATTATTAACTATATTCCCTGTGGTGTACTTTTCATTGCCGTGGCTTATTTATAACTGCAAATCTGTACCACTTAATCCCCTATTTTGCCCATACGCCTGCCACCTTCCCTTCTATCAACCACCAGTTTTTTTCTTGGTTCATTTGTTTTGAGGTGAAATAGTATGATATTTGTCTTTCTCTGACTTATTTCACTTAGCATAATACTCTCTAGTTGGGTGCATCCATGTTGCAAATGGCAAGATTTCATCCTTTTTTAGGGTTAATATTCCATTGTATATATACCATATCTTCTTTATTTCATCTGTCAATGGACACTTAGTTTGCATCCCTATGTTGGCTGTTATAAATAACACCAGTAAAATAAGGACACATACTTGTATTTAAGTAAGTATATATACATTTAATGTTTTCAGAGTTTTTGGGGTAAATAGCCAGTAATGGAATTACTGGATCATGTAGTATTTCAATTATTAATTTTTTTTTAAAGATTTTATTCATTTATTTGACAGAGACACACACAGCGAGAGAGGGAACACAAGCAGGGGGAGTGGGAGAGGGAGAAGCAGGCTTCCCGCCGAGCAGGGAGCCCGATGTGGGGCTCGATCCCAGGACCCCGGGATCATAACCTGAGCCAAAGGCAGACGCCCAATGACTGAGCCACCCAGGTGCCCCAATTTTTAATTTTTTAAGGAAACTCCATACTGTTTTCCCTAGTGGCTGCACCAATTTGCATTCCCACCAACATGCACGAGGGTCCCTTTTCTCCACATCGTCCCACAGTGTCGCCAGCACTTGTCTTTTTGATGCCAACTGTTCTGACAGTTGTGAGGTGATACCTCAGTTTTGATTTGCATTTCCCTAATGATTAGTTATGGGGACCACATTTTTTATGTTTCTTGGCCATGTGTATGTACTCTTTGGAAAGATACATATTCAGGTTCTCTGCCCATTTTTTAATCGATTATTGGGAGCTTTTTGTTGTATCAATTATGTATTTCAGATACGAACCCCTCATTGGATAGATCATTTGCAAATATCTTCTTCCATTCAGTAGGTTGCTTGTCATTTTGTTGGTTTCCTCTGCTGCACAAAAGCTTTTTAGTTTGATACTCCCAATAGTTTCTTTTTGCTTTTGTTTCCCCTGCTCAAGGAGGCCTATATGGAAAAAGATTGCCAAGGCCAGTGTATTAGAGATTGCTGCTAGGTTGTTGGGTT